AAATATTCAAACTGGGAATGGAAGGTGGTGACAATCAATAAAGTACAGAAATTCTTAAAAGGTAGCCAGTGCGTTCCTGTGCTTTAGTTTCCCCTTTACTTGCTTCCTCCCTGCTCTCTTTCAGATTGAAATTATTTTTCCTCATGGTAATTCACAACCTAATTCCTCAGTCTGTCGTTTGTGAGTGACAGAACAGCATTGGTGAATCTAGCAGTGCTGTTTAATGCTGTTGAGAGCAATTAAATTATTGGCGAGTGGAGCTGCAGAATGGGAAAATAAATAATACAAAGTCTCATGACACTGGAGTTGTATTCTGTGCTGTGTTAAAGTGTCCCCCTAATAAGTCTCAGGGGGAAGGGATGGATTACGGCTACCTATAGCAGACTAGGTATGTGAAATAGCTTGCTTTCACAACTTTGTAGACTCTTATCTAGGCTGTCTTAGGGCTGTACCTTTGTGCAATAGCACTGTTACAGTCAGTCTCAAGTGTATAGTTATCTGTAGGATGTGTGGAAATTTAGGATGCCCAAGAAACTTACACTATTTGAAGCCCATCTCGAATTCTTGTGAGTACTTGGTATAAATGTATTTGAGAGGGTTGGGAACATCATCTGGCAAGAATTTTTCAAGATTCTTGTACTAATTGATTCTTTTATTGCTGTCCCTTTTAAATCGTTCAGACATATTTATTGCAAGTGAACATCTTTGAGTTGGGAAATCTGTTTACTCTCATTTCTAACATCTCATGGTCACTTTTTTTTTGTGTGCCTTAAGCCTAAAATGCGTATGTTTGCAACTGTTTTGATTTTTTCAAGATGGTCTTGAAAGAGTAGTTGTCTTCACAGATTCAAAGCTTTTGCTTTATTTCATCTCTTGTAACTGCTTTATTTTGCCTACTCTTCTCAAGACATATGGTGTGTATACTGCAAGTGCTTTAAAGCAAGTTTTTCATGTTCCTTGCTCTTTAGAGCTTCTAATACAGACTTTGTCACAGTTGGTTTCTTAAATATATTGCCCTCCTGTATACAGTGGTAGGCTGTACTAATTCATTTTATTGAGTAGTTCATGCACAACCAGGAGTTTGTCATTTGAGGAAAGTCTTGATTGAAAGTCTTCAGTTGGCACTCAGTAAGATGGTCACTCTTAGAATCATATAATATAGGAGAGGAAGAAAAAAATGTATGTACTTACTAACCTTAAGTTTGTAGGCTTTACTTTTCTGTGCTAACAGTTCTGGGCCAGGTCTTCATTTCGTCACCTTTTGGATGGCTTTGATGGTTCTTTCAAATGAATTATTCTCTTACTTACTTTCTGTGTTCCTCAGACATGTCTAGTTCATAGTTCATGAAGAAAATATTTTTACAATCTCTTAATATTAATTGTTTAATTTTTATAAGAGAACAGACCTATGTCCGTGTGCTTATGTGTATATGCACTGTATGTATAAGTAGTAGTATTTTTAACATATAAGTGGTGATGTGGAGTATCCCTTGAGTTTTGAGTTGTATTTTCAAGTTGTAAAACTGATATATACGTAAAGATTTTGTAACATGCCAAGAGGGTGGTTGGGAACAGAGCTTGTTGCAGGTTCCCGTTGGAGCTGTTAGGCTTGCTTTATTCATTAACTAGGCTGGAGCTGAGTTAACACTGGAGTGAGGCAGACCGTCTGGGTGGCACTGGAGATGACCTTTCTTCATAAAACAAACAGAGCTTTGGCTGCTTTTCTTGCTGTCATCTCTGTTCTGTATCTGTCACGTGTTGTGAGTTATCAGTGGTGGCCTTTATTAGGTGGTAGCCCTTTGTAGTCCATGTTATCTAAGAGAATCCTTAAAAGATTTTATTACTTAAGCCTTGCTGGTTTGAACTAACTGCGATGTCAGTTGACACACTGTGCTGCATTGCAAATTCCTTAACTACTAAATTACTACTCAAACAGAAAACTTGAAAACAAGTTGTGTTGAAAGAGGCCTTTGTCAAGCAATAGCAAAAAAAATCTGCCCCAGAATAAGATGGCTTGAATATTTTCCTTTTTGTTTATTTGATTTAGATCAGCTTAGTAACACATACATGTGAAACTGATTTATTGTTCTAAATGATGAATAAAAGCTGTTTTGAAGACTTGTTCTTGAATTATAAAAATTGTGACCAAAATTTTGTCATCTGTATTACTGAGCTGTAGAAATCTTTATATAAACCAGCTAGTTGTACATAAACACACTTAAGCATAAGAGAAAAATAAATTGTAAGTAAACATACTTTTATATACGAGAGAAATCTTTAGTAAAACTTTTAATTCAGCTTTTTATTTAATACAGCAACTTTAACATTTTTTTCTATATTAATTCTATCCAAGATCAGCTTGATATGTGTCTCAAAGATCTTTTGGGTTCTATCAAATACAATATTATATAACATAAAAATAAAGAACTATATCTATAAGATTTATAACAGATGAACAAAAAGTGCTGTCAAACTTACTATAGACTTACCCTTTGTTTCAAATCAACTTCCAGCTATGGAGAATTAACCTTTCTTCTGGAAAGTACAGATAGAGTTTGAATATAATTGATTGTTTAACTCAAAGTTTCTTCTTTGCTGATTTAAATTAGAATTGATGGTTTTGTTTATCTTGGTATAAGTCAATCTGCTTTAACTAAAGGTGTGAATTTATTTTTCTAAACCCTGAAAGTCAGATTGATAATTCCTTGTTGCTCAAGAGAAATGGATTGAGAAATGTCTGTAGATGTTCTCCTGCTGTAGCTCCAGGCGTTGAGGAGGGAGTGCACACATCAGATACAACTTTTAACCAGAGCAGAATGTCTGAAAGCCGGTTAGTTGGATGGATACGTGTATTGGTTTTTCCTCTCTTCTCCTCTCCCTCCCTCTTCAAATGCAGTCAGCTTCTCAGTGCTCTTGGGATGTTTTCTTTCACTGCTGCTTACAGCTGAAAGCGGGGAGAGGCTTTGGGAATGCATTTTAGGCTTATGGTAGTGGTCAAATAACACGGTAGTAGACTCCTGGCTGCCTGTGCGTATTCAGGTGATGCTTCTCCAGTGTGTGTGTATAGGTACGGATTAATAGCTATCGATCAATGACGATGTATTCTGAAGTCCTAATAATAATAATAATATTATGAGGTAGTCTTTAGAGAAACAATGAAAAAGAGAAGGTTAATGATTGTCAGGGATAAAATTGGTATTTTCTCCAGTCATGCTAAAAGCTCTTCTGTAGCTTGATAGAAACTATGGGCTTGTGGCATCAGCTTTTGTTTGAAATGCTCTGGTCTTTTTCCATGAGGCTAGAATTGACTTTCAGGGTGCCTCTTGGCTCCTAACGTTAATCCTTTTGTGGAAATGATCATGAAGTAATAGCTGTTAGAGCCTAACAAAGAACTTAGAATGAGAAAACAAATTAAATATCAAGAATTATGAAAATGCCTTTAAATTTTGACCCTATGTTCGAAGGCGTTGCATAAATGCAACAACGTACTGTCTCTGAATAACATGGAGGAATATACAAACATACTGAGGCACCTGTATGATGCCTAGAATTCGAGATAGCCATAGAGCATACTCACATTATTTCGTTTTAGTCTTCCAAAATATGTTAACCAAGCTATGGTTAAAAGAATTGTATCATTCTGAGCTATTTGTAACTGTTTAAGTTCTGTCGGAGTGACTTCTACAGAACACATGTGGTCATACACTGTAAAAGATGGGGTTTGTATTTTCTCTATGCATCGATCTTTTGTGCTGTTTTTCAAAGCAAGTAGGAACAGGCAGTGGTTTGCTTTTGATACAACAGAGCATTTAAAATTCTAGTACTGTGAAAAGGGTATGTATTATTGAAAGACTTGAGCATAGAGGTTTTTTGTTTTCAGTATGAAGTTGCATTAGGATAATTTTTTTTTATCATGCTGTTAGAGATCAAAGTATTAGTATAGTAAGTAAGCCTCGTTGTCTGACATATCTAAATATATAGTGCCAGCTTGCATGCCATGCTCCTTACTTCAGGAGAAACCAAGAATGATTGTGGGCTGTCTGCCAGTAGAACAACAGTTTGTTTCTCCACGTGGGAAGAATACCATTGCCAGGAGTCGGTGCCGCCTTTGCCATTATAGCATTGCTAGGAGTCAGTGACAGCTCTTTAATTATTGCTTTTGTCTGTAACAATTTATCCTGTGTGTCCTTTCATAAAGTAATTCAGTAATGATCCTGTGACTTTTATAGTGTCTATATTCAACGTTTACTGCTAAGACAAGCAAATGTGATGTCTTTGTGTAAGGTTGCCATATCTTTTTATCTAATATATATGTGTGCACACGCAAGCATCTAAACTGGCATGTTGAGAATGGAAGGTAAATTCTTCTCCAACTGTTGTTGGCCTTGCATGGCTGCTGTGGTCGTGCTAGCGTCCTCAACAGAATATACTTAGAACTGCAACCAACTAAGCACAGACCACTGAAAATACGTATATTAGTATATAGTTTCCTACAAGATGATGATAATTCCACAGCAGTTGTTTTTCTTCTCAGATATGCTGCAATAAATGCATAGAATCAGTAGAAATAATTTATAAGGAAGAATTCTATACAATTTAGTGTAAATATGGATATTTTATATGAAACAATGAATTTGTTTTAAGGTGTCTGTTAATATTTTTATAGGACAGGGTAACTTAAAAACATAATTAGGCTTTAGAATTCAAGCCAAGTTTACCAATCTACGTTGATATTAAATGCAAGACATTTTGTGTAGTCAAGATCTCCCAGTGAGCCTTGTGTAACTTTTAAAAATTATCTGTAGCTTTCAGAGTACTTCGGATGCACAAATGTTAAGAAAAGGCACTTGGGTAAATCAGTACCTGGGTTTTTGGTTTTTTTTGAAACAGTGTTGTTTAACTGCTGGTTTGAGATAACCATAAGGCAGAAGAGCTCAGTTGACTGTCTCGTGAACTGTTCTTAATGAGCATTATGTTATTTTCCCCTCTTGTTTTTCTAGGCTGTTCAATTAACCCCTAGACGATGGCTGAACCTGCAGGAGTACCAAAGCAAAAAACTAATGGCAGACCATGGGGTTACAGTTCAGAGATTCTTTGTAGCTGATTCTGCAAATGATGCCCTGGAGGCTGCTCAGAGACTAAGTAAGTTGACTGATAATGGGAGGAATCTGCTTCACCAGATAGCAATCTGGAAAATAAATTGCTCTGTAATAAGTTGTACACAATCTTCAAATTGATGCTTATTGAAAAGATTTGATTTATTATCCGGATCATAAATATATGCTTAAATTTCATATGTGAACAACAGTTCATAACAGCAGTATTTCTTTAGAACTTTATTTCTAAAATGTTTTGTATGCAGCATATAACATGAAGTCTTTAACATTATTTATGTCCTTTTGAATAACTCAGAATTCAGGATAATTTCATGAATGGTTTCTGAGGAAAATTATTTGTTCTTATATACTTGATATAACTTAAGGAACTGAAGCAAATGAACTTGCTTAAAAAGTTTTTTTTCAAAGAAAAATTTGCTCTATTAAAAAGCAAAGGAAGAAAAAGGTTGTGGACTCTTAGTTTTTGAAGATACTCAGAACCCAGTTGGACACAGTCTACTTTAGCTGACTCTGCTTTGAGCAGGTGGGTTGCACTGTGTGATCTCCAGAGGTCCTTGCAACCTCAACTGTTGTATGATTCTATGAAGATACAAAATATATAGGAGAGAATTATATAAATGTATGTTTGTCTATACGGAGACAAAAAAGATGAGTTGACTTTCCTACCATCACAAAAGGACTTGACGGTGGCTGGAAGAGAAGACCATGCTTCTGGAACTTCATTTTGGTTCTCTGACAACATCGTCATTTTAGTGTGGTGAACATAAGATGATAATGTGGGTCAGAAATTAATTTATGTAGTACCGTTTCCCTCAAAAGGAAATGCATTTAAGTACGTTTGTCAATTCAAACTCTGAAAGAAGTTTTCTTCTTTAAGTAGTTTGTATAGTTTTCCTCTTTTCATTTAGCTTTTTTTAATGTATCATACATCAAAATGCCGGAGGACAGACATTATTGTAATCTAATTGTGTAGAAACAGGAAGTTTTTTTTGTTTATGTTTTACATAATGCACAAGCCACTTAGTTAAATGCATTTTGGTTTTGCACACTGGAAGGTAAATTAACACAACTTACTCATATCAAAGATCTCATCAGACCTCAAGTAGCTGAATGGGATTAGCATAATGGCTCACTAAATCTCTATAACTTTATTAAGGTGATACAGTTTTCAATAATCAAAACCTTCTTATGTCAACCATATACTTGAAAATACATTTGAAACAAAAATATTAAATGCTACTGTTACGGTCATTTGGCATCACAAACTGAAAACACATACTGACACAAAGCTCATAGATTTGGAGAGTTTCTTCAGTCCAGATGTCTGAGAAAATCAAGAAGTGCTAACTGAAGGTTTTCCATGAATCTTACAGCACTTAAACTCTTCTCTTCATGATTGAACTCATAAATATATTGGTCTATCCAATAACTATTGCTATTCTTGATCCCTATAACTATTTGGAAAAATAAATTACTCCATGACAGCCAGTGAACCTTTTCTGTTTTATGATGCCAGTTTTATTTTAAATAACCTCTGTAGCTTGCTTGCTCTGCAAATCACAGAAATATTGGTCTATTTAAAAAAAAAATCCAAACCTGTTAAAATTTAAATAATCAAATGTAAAATATAAAAAATTAATTGCTAATCAAAATTTATCAGGTAAATTGTGTGTATTTTAACTGGATTGGCTTGTTAACACTTCAAAATATTGTTAGTCACTGCTACCTTTCTTCATTTTATATAATTGCATTCAAGCATACTGCGTTACTGGGCATTAAAGAGTAGTGGTTTATAGTGTGGAAGCTATTTCATGTTGAAATGATTGACACATTGTTGATAATTATCACTAAATGACACATCATCCTCGTAATCGTTCTGATAGTGTGCTGTCCTTGTACTTTTAACATGCACTTTGAAAACTAAGCATCAAGAACACAAGTTTTGCTACTATGTTTATTTTTGTTCCAAGATTTCATCAGATTTATCTTCTTTATGATCTTTCAAACTAGTAGTATCTCTGTCACTCAGGTTTATCTGCACAATTTGATACGGACTGCTGTCTTCTGAATATGCAGTCACACAAAGTAAGTTATGAGCAAAACAAAAAACTTCAGTCTACAGGAGGCACAAAATATTCCAAAATAAAATAACCAATGGAGGCAGCTTTGGGATGTTCTTGATAGACAGGCATTCTGCAGTAGAAGATGGTGACAGGAGAGGCCAATCACCCCTGCCAAGTCCTGCTCAAAAATCTGTTGTTTTAGATAGTGTATGCCACATTGCAGCTGTCCTTAACTTTCATTTCTGCAAACAAGAAAGGATGCTTGCCAACGTATTTTTAAGATAAAAATAGAATAAAGTTATCAAAACTTGAAAGTCAAAGGTTCGGTGTTTTTCTTGTGAAAGGAGGTTCTTTCTATAGACCTGTCATCATGAATGCAGGAGAAACAATTATTTTCCTTGATAATCTTACAGCATTGTCACTCACATGGCTCTGTGCGTGTGATAAAGGGGTACAGATAAAGGGGCAGAAATTCCTGGCATGGAAGCCTTTACAAAGTGTGGTAGTCAGAAATTTATTTCACAATTTAGTGAATTTTACAATTCACCAAATACTACAGGGCTGATGGAGCTGTCGGTACTGCCACAGTGCCTCTGGTCACCAGTTTTGCTATTGTTGGACTTCCTGTTGATGCAATGGAAAGAGATGGAATGAGAGTGTTTTTGCTGCTGTCTTCACTTGTCAGGAAGGTGTTAATGTGTGTGTTCTTAAAAGGGTTTGCCTTTACCCAGTATCAGCAGTTTTGTTAGTTTACTCATTTCCTCTGTTGCTGTCTCTATTTTTATTAATATGTACGCTGAGTACACTGAATATTAATTTTCTCAAAGATTTGTCAAAACTCACCAAGAGCACAAAAGGCAGTCTACAAGGAATTTTTAATGCAATTAAAGGATTGTTGTTTTTTTCTCCTAAGGTAAGAATGGCAGATGTGAAGAAAATTAAAATGACATCACCAATATTGACTTCAAAAGAAGTTGTACACAATAAGGAATACAGAATTAGGCCCCAAGGAATTCATTGCCTTTTTGTGCTAAGCAATTTTCAGGTGTAACTCTTGTAGAGAGGCAATATTTACAGAATACCAAGAAATGCAGTCACAAACAGTTTTGTTTCATGTTACAATGCCTAAGTTTTCAGGAGAGAAAGAAAAAGATGTTGTGCAGTTTTGCTGCGACAGTACAGCATTGCTTGATCTGCCATCTGAAGAAACACAACCTGTAAACAAGTTGTTACAGTTCTAGTGCAGCTATTTAACGGAACAAAGTGAAGTGTTTGGAATCTGAGTTTTTGTCTGAAAGGTGAGATCAGCTGGGTGTTCCGGCATTAACTCACAGTCTTCTGATCTGATTCTCACTTAATGCAGGGCTTGTTTATCCAAAGAAGGCATTTCCTTTCTTGCTATGTCTTTTCCTCATTCTGTAGTACTGATATAAGGAAAAAATACTTATATATCTGTACATACACCCACGCTATTGGGGTGTGCGCATTTTCGTTGCTTGTATTGGGCAGATGTGTGGTGCATCATTTTCTGTAGCCTTCTCAGCCAGAGGCCCTTGAGTCTGCTTCAGCTCGTGCACTGTTCTTTATGTTCTGCCTGCTGGAGAAGTTGTTAAGGGAACCATCGTTTTAAACTAGTAGGTGGACAAAGCTGAGAGGGATTATAATTATGCTGGAGGGTGTTACTGTGTGCTGTCAATTGGCTCTTTGAATCGGGAGAGAACTTACAGAGGTGGTTGAAAATGCTGACAATCCTAAATGGATGCTGGAAGCTTGGCATGCATTTCTTTTTCTGATTTTTAACAAAAGCAATAGAGTGCTTCCCATTGCCACTTAAAGTGTTTCATTACATTTAGGAATCAGTCAGGTGCAGTGTTCACACTCTATCACAGAGAAATGCAATTGAATTGAGTGCAAGGCTTTTATTCGCTCTTCTTTAAAAAAAATGTATAACAAAATATAGTGTCTGCATATCGTATTTCTATTGCTTTATGCATGAGGGAACTCATAAAATTTGTCTCTGGACTAAAGGCATGCTTTTTATATCAGGCTGGAGAGGTAAACATGTATTTTATAAAGAACAGAAGAGGTTTATTGAAGCCTCTTTCCATGAGGTCATTTACCTGTCACCTATTATTCACCATTTTTTTTAGAGTATTGAAAGACTTCTCAGTCATGTGAACACCCGTCTCTTTCCTATCTCGGCCTGCTGGGTTTTTTCCTTCAGCTATGTTTAATTTAGATGGAAGGCTGCACTTTTAGATGCTGCTTTAGTTCCCTTATCTGAAAGTTCATCTCTGCAATACAAGTTGTGAAAACCACTTGAAAGCAATGTATGTTCAGAAGGGATAAAAAAATTGATTTTTAGCTTGGTAATGTCCTTTTTTGTATAGATTATGACGAAATTGTTGGCAATAATGCTGTCTCCATTTAACCTAAGCTTTTATGCTAGGAAAAATGAAAGTACTTGAACCTGGTGTTTCTGAGGGTGTTTGAAATGTGAATTTAGGTTCTTTTTTGTTATACCAGGAAGAGCTTTTCTATGAATATCCTATACAGACCAGCCCTCTGTTGTTACCTTTAAGTAACTTAATTTACTCTTCAGTCCTTGAGTTTGTTGGCCACTTAGCTGATCTTTTTTTACTGGCATCATGTACCTTGCTTACATGATTTAATTCCCTTTCTTCTTCTCTCTGCCAGCATAGGTAGGAGAGGAATTGCCTCCTTCAACATTTTTGTGATTTTCATGTTTCTTTCCATTGTGTGGTTCACTGTGTAGTAACAATTTTTCACCTGTGCATAATGAGTTATTTCTCCCAAAACCCCGATGTACTTAGTGATTATAACTAGCTATTTTTTAGAGCCCCTTGGATTATGCTTCTCTGCATATGTTGAAAAATCACATGTTGCTGAAATAGCGTTCCATGGAGCTGTATGCAGTGAACTTGCTCGTTGTTAAGGAACA